CCATCAGCCATGCATCCCCTGGCCACGCACCAGAACACGGGATTCGGGGAATTTTTTAGAGAGGTTATCTTCCTCGCGGTCCGGGCGGTTAAGCCAAGACCCTCGCCTCCGATCAGAGCCGCGAGACTTAACCACAGCGCTCTTCTCGGGATTGCGATATGCCGACGGTTGACAGGGAGACTACGTCCCCCTGCCTGCTCGGTGGTAGTGTGAGTACACGCCGAGCCCGTCCTCCTTTCTCCACCGCTATCAGCGGAGAAACTGTGGCCCCTACAGGGCCCCACCATCAGGTTTTTTACCGAGGTTTCCTCCTCCATACTCCGAAGAGCGAAGAGCCAGCAAGGCAACCGGCAGACACGCCCACCCTGCTGGACCAGGCCTTGCCCGAGAGCCGATGAACGGCTGCCTCTTCTGCTAGAATATTGGCCGCTGGCGATAATCCTCTCCTCCAAGAGGACAAGGAGGAAACAGTACCATCGCCAGCGTTTCCAGGGTGCACCACGGGGAGGTTTTCTAGCTAGCACCCCAATTATTTCGCTATCCTACCCTAACAACTTTTGGCGCTTTCTTTAAAAAAAAATCTTTTATGCTAATGTATCGCCCCTAAGTCAACTGACGGATACTTTTCATACACAGATGTTTCTCCTTGCCACTACACTCCATAGATTGAATGCTCTATCACGACACCACATTTGTCATTAAAATTTGTTTTGTAATAATCTAAACGATAGAGTAATGAACAAAACCTCAGCTGTCAGTTTAGCTGTCATCCTCGGCAACTCCAAACATTTATCCAAATCATAACCGTACCTATCAGAAGACCCCTTTCATTCCCTAAATACTTTTAACATCTGATAAACGACAAATCCTAATACATTTTAAATGTCGTTTTACACTTTAGCCAGTCATTCCCCGTTCTATGCAAACGTTTTAGGGGTCCGATCATTAGGCTCCCATTTACGCTGTTATGTTGGTTACGAAACTTTTTAATGTAATTTAAAACTTTGCAGATAGGTGTAGGTAGGCGGATGGAATTGGGGTAACAGGTTGATATGCAGAAGTTATATGTATAAATATAAAGTTTTCCTCTCCTTTGTTCGGTTTAAATCGAATTAAATGATTTAAAATTTGGAGAAATATAAATTAGCTATCGTATATGACTGCTGTCAGACCACATATTTGTATGTTCTGCAAAAATATGTTTCGGAGTTGGGGTGTTTTCTATGTATGTATTTATAAAAAAAAAGTAAATAAGTTAGTGTGAGTTACTGTGCCCTTTAATCCATTAGAGGAGTACCTCATTTAATGTGGCAAGCTGCTCCAATGCTTGATCGCATTCGCATACCAGAGGTCATTGTGTTGCCTCCAGTGCCTTTAGGACGGCCATACTGTCTGACATTATTCGGTCATTATAGTCTTTAATAGCCCTTGACATGTCGTAAGTTATTGCCACACATTCGCATCGAAATATGGAACTGTATTGGCCTAACGCTAGTGATATGTTTATATTTAAATCTTGCGAAAAAATTCCAGCTCCAGTTCCTGACCCAGTCTTGGAAACGGCCGTGTAAATTCGGACTTTGTTAATTGATGTCGGTCATTTTCTTGTGTCTGAATCTCTATCTTTTTGTGAAGATATGGTGTTTTGCGATCCTATCGCATAGGGCTGCTAGTAGTAGTTCGTATTCCACTAATTGATCCCATAATTTGGAGTGGGATTTAGTGGGGGCAGACCACGAGCTACCTCTAGTGCAGCAGTTGGCGTTGTGCGCATACTGTCATTGACCGCAGGCATGGGACTGTGGCGTATTGTGGCGACTTCCACATACCATGAAACTATATAATACTATAATATATGGCGCAGTAGCCATCTAACGGAGATACACCGAACTACAGAGTAACTTCTAATCCTGTATCGCGATATGAATAATTCTCACGCATCGAATCAACTGTTAAAATCGAGCTAACTATTTAAGGGTAAAGACATTTTAGAATATCTCTAAATTCATAGTAGAAAGTGAAACTACATCAAACTATACTACAAGTTTGGCCCAAGGCCGATATGCGAAAAGACCTATATTAGTCTAACTAAACAAATGGAAAACTAATTACAGCGTGGTTCGTAGTGTAAAGTTCAAAATTCACTTTTGTGTTGGACTTGGATCCCAATTTAGTAGTTTTAGTAGAAACCAATTAGTTAAATTACACCAGTTAATTTATTTCAAGAGTCATGCTATCCGATTTTGAACCTACCAGCTAGTTACAAGACATGGTACAATAGGAAAATTTTCGTTCTCAATCTGAATTTCTGATGGACTAAGAGCAAATGAAAAACACGTGTCGTAGAAATCAACTATTTCACTTCCAACAACAAACGTTGCCTCACTTTTTTTCTGGTTATGGAGTGTAGAGGCAAGGAAAACCATCTCATATGGGGGGAAAGTTGAAAAAGTGTTCAGCTGTATACTGAAAGTCTCTACTTTCAGTATACAGCTGAACACTTTTTCAACATAACGTAGTTGTTCATACGCCAGCGACCTCTGTGGCGTATGAACAACTACGTTATGAACATAAACTACTTTTGTAGCATACTTTTATTCTCTGAAAATTTTTACACGTTTAGTGTCTGTAAAACTCATTGACTATTTTCGCAGTACGCAGTACGCCGAGCGTTATGGGTTCGATCCCCACATGGGACGACGATTTGTGTGATCCAAACAAATTGGCGTTCTGAGTCTAGGTGTTCTTTACGTCCGTTGAATATTATATTTGTAATGCCACCTGCGACACAGGTTATATTCAAAGTGCGGGAGTTGTCTTAAGCCAATCTAAATTTATCCTAGGCTATTGCAGCGATACCCTATTGGACTCAACTTTTCATACACAGAGATGGTTCTCCTTGCGTCTACCCTCTATATTTCTGGTGACGACTTACATACAGTCTAACTTTTTTTTTACGTGTGGATACCTCCTCGGGCCGTCACCCCCACCGGGGTTTTGCGGCGGGGTGTGTGTCGGAATCGGACCGACTAAAACCTCACGGTGTGCCACTCTGCGCCTGTAATAGGAGGGATCCGGGAATTACGACAACCGGACCCCTCCTAGCGCCTACCCGGATACATTCTCCATATAGGCGGAGATGAAGTCCGCGCCATTGCGGGCAGGCGCTAGAATACATACAGTCTACCTGCCCCGATCGAAACGCGAGTATCACGTTTATATACTAAGTATTAATGATGGAGCCCATAGACCAATACCATTTAACCTCATCAAATTTAAATCAAAATCTTTTTTAACTCGAGTAGTCTTTTTGTATTTACCAAAACAGTTTTGAAGTTATTAATGCCAGTCGCAGTGAAATAACTTGAAGAAGAGCACGAAAAAAATTATCGTGTGTTGTAATTAAACGGAAATCCTTACCGCTAATTGTCTCACGACATATTTACAGTCTATTTAAAAATGTTTCTGTATTCTTTGACACTTGCCCCCGTATATATACCTCAGCCTATGCTTGTCCACTGCTGGACATAGGCCTCTCCCAATGATTTCCAGCGGGGACGGTTGATTGCGGCCTGCATCCAACGGTTTCCGGCAACCTTTACCAGGTCGTCCGTCCATCGGGTAAGCGGTCGTCCCACACTGCGCTTTCCAGTACGTGGTCTCCATTGGAGAACCTTGCTGCCCCATCGGCCGTCAGTTCTCCTTGCTATGTGCCCTGCCCATTGCCACTTGAGCACGCTAATCCGTTGGGCTATGTCGACCACCTTTGTTCTCCTGCGGATCTCCTCGTTGCAGATTCGATCACGCAGGGAAACGCCAAGCATAGCCCTTTCCATAGCACGCTAAGCGACTCTGAGCTTTCTGATTAGGCCCATAGTGAGAGACCACGTCTCAGTTCCGTAGGTCATCACTGGTAACACACACAGGTTGAAACATTTCGTCTTTAGGCACTGAGGTATTTTGGACGTGAAGACGTTTCGTAATTTCCCGAACGCTGCCCAGCCGAGTCGGATTCGACGATTGACCTCTTTCTCGAAGTTGGACTTACCTAATTGGACCGTTTGTCCTAAGTAGACATATTCGTCAACAACTTCGAGGACAGAGTTTCCCACGACTATGGGAGTCGGCCCCCGTATCTGCTTCTATATCTATAAAAGAAGAAAGTGAGAGACTGATTCACTGACCGATCGATAAACACACACCTGAAACCGTTGAGGTGGCTAGGTGACGTAGATGGGCACTTAAAAGGATTTTTAAAAATTCCACCCCAGAGATTGCAAATGAGGGTTGTAAATTTATATGAAACTTTGATACTTTTGGCAGTAGCGTTTTCAAAGTCACAGTAAATATTATTTATTAAAAATAATATATTAATATAAATACTCATTTTTGAAAACTACCTCTAGAAAGTTTGTATAGGCGTCAATTTTTTTTAACTTATCGATTCCAAACTCCCAGTATAATTACTAGGATGGCTGATATCGACCACATCGCGGACTAAGTCGCTGGCAAAAGCTAGTCTATTTATAAGGTTTATTGCCTTTTCTTTTGTATGCAGTGCCAAAAATGCCATGTTGCTATTGATGTAATTTTAGATGAAATATTTATCATATTATTCATCTATTACATTTCATTTAAGTAAAAAACTTGAAACAAACCCCATACCGTCTGGCCAGCGTGGTATAGTAGGCCAGAACTTCCTGTAGGAGAGGCCTATGTCCAGCTGTGGACTATTAAGGATGATGATGACATTTCATTTTTTTTAGTATTAAAAAAAAAACAAATGCAAAATTTGATAAAAGAGATCATAACGACCTGGCATTGCATATAATGATATCATGATTATTTGTGTTCAGTATATTTCCTTATTGCTATAGAGTAGAAGTTATATTATTTTGCTAATAGTTTTGCGTAACTAAATACATCAAAGTCAAAGGATGTCGGTGTTAATGATTGATTCTCAAAGTCATGGAGAAAAAGAAAACATCTACAATAATATATTAATTTTCAGGATCAACGGTTAATTCCAAAAACGCCCTAACTTCGTGAATGAGCTTCACTTCTAATTCATGAGGCGATTTCAACAACTGATCCGCTATATTGTTGATGAGAACATGAATATGTGATTTCAGTTTAGTATCCATTCTAACCCACTCAAAGAACTCACTTAAGAAACTGTGAAATGGATCCGCCTTCCGTTTCGCATAGAAGTGGTCCATATCTGATAGTATTGCGTACACTAACTCCACGTCCTTACCACCAGTAAAAAACGTTCGAGTTTTAACAGCATTCAATCTTTCTTCAACAGCTTTATGTATATTGCGCAGTACATCTTTCGTCGGTACATTATCTGAGTAACTCATGTCATTAAGTATTACTTGAAATTCATTAGCAGTTGTCTCACTTATATGGGAATAAAATGTCGTATCTAACAAACCTGTAGCCACAGATCTCATGAAGTACTTAATTTTCTCCTCGTTCAAGTTTCGCAAAGAAGACAATAATGTGTTCAAAGCTTTAGTGCATTCGTAAGATTTTGTGCAGATGTTGTAATCCGTGCACAACGTGTTTTCATATTTACCTTCGACGACAATTGTGACAAGAACAAATTTTTGCATCAACTTCTTTTGAATTTCTAACGCGTTGCCATTATTGGTGTCCATCCTCTCCGTGGCGTAATTTATCGCGGCTTCTTGAAACATAGCGCATATTTTTTTGATGATGTCAATCCAAACATATTCTTCTGTTTTTTCTGTCACTCTTGTGTTAGCTATTCTAAGTAGCTGCCGGACCTCAAGAAGCAGTTTTTTTAGTTCTTCTTCAAATATATGTGTTGTATTCTCATTTTCGATTTCAGGATCTTTCTCTTGTTTGAGAATAGTTTGAAAGGCGGTCTCTATGGATTTTGTTAAGACAGTAATATACTCATTTATAAATGGTTCTAGTTTGCCCTCGCAGAAAGTCAGATCTCGACAGAGGTACGAAGTCTTAGTAATCAGGTACAAAACATCATTTTCCTTGGCATGACCCAATGAACGGCGAATTGGAATGCTTCTTCTCATGTAATGTTGTAATGTGTCTAGTACATCTTTACCAAAACTTAGAGACCCTTGTAAATTCACTTTGACTCCACAGCAAAATGATATTACAGCTGAAAAATATCATAAAGTAAATTATTCAAAAACGCCCTTTTGTTTATTTTAAGTTTTCTTCATGAAATGATGATGGGTACATCCTCATTTTTAATATGTCAACATTCATCAGAAGAAAAAACTTGTTAATAATTAAATTATATTGACTATTTTTAGTTCTGTAACGTAAATTAAATAATAAAAATTCTTACCAAAAAATGAAATCGAATACTTTATAAAATCCATGTCGTTTAAAATAAAATAATATACATTTCACTTTATTGCCTATAAACACACAACACTTTACTAGCTTTTTTAAATTTCAAAATGGCGGAACTGATTCAATTTACTGCTCGTAAAAAGACGAAAACGTATACGTCTATAAAAGACTGTGTAAACACAATTTATTGTAAAAGGAGGACAATTTATTGTAAGTTTTTTGTTACACCACGTAAAACAAGGTGACTGAGTGAAACTGATAACACCACACTGTGTGTAATTAAGGACCTGATACCATGGGTAATTGGGAGGTCTTGTCATTTCAGACCCGGTTGGACTGTGGACTATTTGGCACAAAGGTTCTTATACAAATTCATTCAAATAATCACACCGGTATATAATATATTTTTAGAGGTTTTAAGTTGTTTTCGTTTTAAGTTCTCGCAGCCCCAAAGAGTTATTTGATTATGTTTTAAAAGCAAATATTAATTTACAAACAGAAAGGTTAGAAACAGTTCAGCAAAATGACATTACGACTCACGAGCTCTCAAGTGCAATAGATATATAAATTCCTTCTTTTGTTTGAGAGCCAAACTTCGGCATGGACTGGTTCGACCAGAGGCTGATAGGCTGATAGGCTCTCAGAAAACCGTTAGGCAGTTCTTATGTTGCTTTTCACTCAGTAAGTTTACCGGCACCTATATTAAATCCCCACAATACCACCCCCCCTTTTCAACGCACTTGTGACATTTCATACGTTGTTCTTCATTCTTGGTTTATTTCGTGGATATTTAGATCTCATCATGGCGGCCGGCCATAAAATTAATTAGCCAAAACCATTATAATGCAGTATGAGTATGATAAATCATACATACTGCGCCGACCCCAAATAAAATTGGGAAAATTGTAGGCAGATGATGATGATTTAGATCTCATCATGATATGTGCATTCGTTTCATGGGGTAGTCAATTTTCTTAGTAACTCGCGTCATAATATGGTTTGGAAAGGTACATAAAGAATTTAAACTATGAGTCATAGAATTTAGTTTTTTGCACATTGTACGCCATTTTTGTGACAGTAAAAATCATTATTTATTTGGCAGGATAATTGGCATCAAGCATTAATAATCACGTCGTAAAAATAATAATATTTCCACTGCCAGAAAGTTAAGTGCGCTAAAAAAGTTTCGTTTAGCGTATAAATTGTTCTGTCAGGCAAATCAATATTTACAAATATAAGATAATTACAGCAAAATGAAACTAGGACAACTTGCGAGAGCAATAAATAAGTTCTTTTGTTTTGGATTTTTATTGAACCTTTATTTTAATTACTTGGATTAAAAACTTGGATTGGCGAATTATTAATCGTTGCCGGACATAGTGTATAATATAGACCATTACATGGAAATTTCATGTAATGGTCTATATGTGGGCCAACGCTTGATACTTTTTCGGGCCGAAGGCCTAGAGAAATCACCTCGAGACCCTAGCTGGAGTCTACGAGAAAAACCACTGTAACATTCAACGCCATCTAGTTTCAAACTAAGCAGAGCTTGTACTATAAAAGCTAGAATACTTATATACCTTATAATGTGGCCGTCATCAATCATTTAATGACCATTATAAAATGATTTCTAAAAAACAGTTAATGATATAAGCGATAATTATTCTTAGATAGTATTAAACATCCAACGTTGACTGCCATGTAATTAAATCGTATTGTGACCGAAAATTGAATCGGTATTCTGCTAGTCTTAGTAATATTACCACGAGAATATGTTTTATGACATTTGTAAGTTCGAGGGTAGATCGGTACTAATTTTTAATACGAAAATTGACCTTATGGCCACGACAATCTACTTTCTTTGCCACAGTTAAGATTACAAACAGAACAGTTAAGATTTATTTAATAGCGCCATCTATTGATGATATAAGAAAGCTACAGTAAAAAAAACGCACTAGATTGTTACCTTAAAGTTGTATGTTCGCCTAGAGTAGCGCTACTAGGATGACTGTTACTTAAGGTTAAAAACAAAGACTAAACTTTTTAAGTTAATTCTTATATTAAATTTTCTGTTAAATAATATAGATATGTCAGGATTCCTTTTATCTAGAATTCTTATAATATACCTACATATCATGATATTAAAAGCAAAAAAACATTATAGACTGTTCATACAGAAATCATTAATTCAATTTTTTTTTTCATTTTACTTGCATAAGTCACAAGAAATGCACTTTTAAAAAGAAATGCAAATACCTAATATTATTTTGATAAGCATTAGTGTACCATAGTATGCTAAATGCCGCTCGCCATGATTTCCCGAATGTAAAACTATCGCCCGGTTTGAGATATTTGGTAGTTTATTTACGAAATTGTTTAAGATATTGGTGCGAATTCTGTTATTGACACAACCAAACTAAGATTTCTCTAAAATTCTTTTATTTTAGTGAGGTGATTTCCAAAAAGCTATTCTGTTGTCAAGATGGTGTTCATTTAGACAGCATTAAATTTGAATTATATATCATTAAAAGTTAAAAAGTAAAGTGTTACCATTGTTTAAAATCAAAAACGAATGATTAAGAGTGAATTGAAAAATCTTTAGAAATTATATTATTAGCCTTTAAACTTTATGTAAATGATTATTAATGCATATAACAGATCAAATAGTAAACAAAATGTTGTATTTCTAAGTTATAGCTAAAAAAATACAGTTTTTCGCCGTTCACATACCTGGCAACCCCGGTACACCTTTTTCGTTATCTATGTAACAGAATAATTAACATACGATAACATCAATCCGATTGAAAATAAATACATAAGCTAGAGTATAAATAGTTAAATTAACTAGTAAAAGGCGGTGCTTAGTAATAATTTTCCAGACAATTTTTTAAAGCGAATTAGGAATATGGGTTTCATTAATTAATTACTTTTGACAAAACACTGTTTACATCGATATTAATTCTTTAGTTTTCTAACAGATGGCGTATGTAGTAATTGTCCATCTCAAATGGATTGGAGTTATCTTGAATTTGTTCAAAGTGAGTTTCTAAAAATAATACGCAGGTATGTCTTCGTAATCCCGATAAGATACATGATAAAAATATAATGATTGTGATTTAAAATGAAAAATATGATGCCCATACCTATCCGCTATACTGACCAGAGGCAAACCATGTAATCGTTTTCATCATTAATTTTTTTTTAAACAATTTACACTTTAATAATAATCAACAAATTAGGCTGTATATATTTAGATAACGTCTAATTTTAGTCTGAAATTTCTAATTTTAGTCAATCTTTGACGATTAGAACGTACAACAGAATGACAAATGATCAATTCTGAACTAAGATAAGTAACTTAACTAATTTTGGTTGTGTGAAACTAAGTATAGTTATGTGCTACGTTTTCAGAATATAAATTTTGCCAAATGACAAATAAAGAAACAAAAACCTTTTTAAAATATACGGCTGCACATACTATTCCAAATGCGCATTTATCAATAGATAGAGAAATATTTCGCACCCTCGGTGCAACAAAATCACACCACGTCATTTTGTAATTTTACAGGAACGGACTTTTAAGTTTTTTTCGATCAATTTTCCTTTTTTCTAGATCCTTTTTTCCTTGATCCTTTTTTCTAGATTCCTTTTTTCTACCTACAGCAGCCTTGATATCTCATTAAAATTATATTATTTGTTCTTTTAACTACAGTATCATGTAAAAATATTTCTTTGATTTTATTAGAAAATTGAAAAAAAAAAGGAAACAAAAAAAACGTCGTAACTTGTGACTATGTCGCACCAGGTACAAATATAATTTAATTATTTGATCGTTATAATGGCACTTTGTTATTTCAATATACGTGAATAAAAATTGTCATTAATACTTTTAAGCTGGTGTAGCTCCAAGTCACGACTGACTCACGCGGGCGCTTGGTCACTCACTACTTACCAATCATACTCTGTTCTCCCATTATTCGTCGAAAAAGTAGCAAGAACGACAAAGGCACTAATGCCATCTATCGATATATTCAAATACTTTCGCGGTTGTCTTTGATTTTCCAAACGAAGAAATGGTTTATAGACAATTTGGCATACTTAAGTAATTTTGGCAATTTTGCCTACTTGTGACTTTGTTGCACCGAGGGTGCGATATATAGTAGCAACAGATACAATTTTACCTGCTCGTCGTAACTCGACGCGGTGTGACTACAAAAAACGTGACGCCCTGCTTCGTGCTGCAGACTCCGTGGCCCCACCCCTATGTTCTGCAAATACTTCGGGTCGCGAACGGCTCGGCTATCGTACCTGTTATTTTTTTGAGGTGGTGTGCAGCACAGGTCTGTTATTTTTATTATTATTATTTATTAATTATTGTCCTGTTTGTCTAGTTTTTAGGAACCCTGATTGCTAAGTCAAAGTTCGTGGGTTCGATTCCTACCTAGGACAAATTATTTTGTGAAGAGCACGAGCATTTGTTCTGTGTCTGGGTATTATTCATCTATTATATGTATATGTTATATTATATATTATAGGTCCATTATGCACATTAAATTTTTAAATTGCGTATTTTGTGTAAAATGCACTGGTTAGAAATAACCAAGTTTTGTATGAAAATTTTAAATAACACCAGTAGCTCCTGTTATATGTGTGGTAACTTCTACATTCAACAAAGAAACACACTTCAACGCCATCTAACGAAAACACGCCTCGTAATCCTGCATCGTGCAATCAAAGTTCTCGCACCGTTTAGTACACATACAAACTTTTGACGCCAATTTTCGTAACACCATCACTTCTGTGAAGAACATAAGTTGGAGTCTTCATTGGAGTGATAGCGTTCTCCATGACCAGTCGTGTCATGATTTTTGAACACATAGTTTGAATGTAGCGTTATCGAGGGATATTTAGATTTATAAACGGACCGATGGGAAAAGGTTTAGATATATTGTTTGAACCGATTTACAAAAAAAAAGGTAGTTCGCAATTTAGCTGTTAGTTTTTTTGGGTTTGTTACCTCATGAAGTTCATTAACCTCATTCCCCATTACCTCATGAAGTACTGTTTGGTCCCATTTAAATTTGAAATATTATTCTACCCCTTTTTTATTTTTTCTGTGTGGAACTCCCCTCGGATACCACCCACCAGTGGGTGATTAAGTCAGGCTCGAACCGACCAAAAACCGCACGCCGTCTCCAGGTACCATTAGCCGTTCCGTCTCCTTCTGCGAGCAAGTTATGCTCGCGAAGGAGACGGCGGAGCGGGACCGGGAGAGGTTTAGAACTCTCCCGGCCCGCCAGGCCCGGGCACGGGCCAGGCAGCGCAGGCGACTCAGGCGCCGGAGGTCGCAGAACGACCTTCGTCCTCCATAAGCGCAGGCCTGGGGGTGACAGGTGAGGCCATCTGTCACCCTAGCAGAAGCAGGCCGGGGTGGCGGCGAGCGCGTTGCGAAGCGCGCTCGCTTCCAGGGAGCACAGGGAACATGGGGTTCCCACACGGGGCGGGGGTCGTCTACTCGTCTGTAGATGACCCGAGGTATGTCGGGGCACCAGGGCCTTCCTTTCTAGGGTATACCTGGTTCCCCGGCTATTAGTACCCGGCGAAGGCGTGCGGTTTTAGTCGGTTCGGGTCCGACATGCCACCGACAGGTGGTATCCGAGGGGATTTCCGCACGGGGGAAAAAAAAAAAAAAAAAAAAAAAAAAAAAAAAAAAAAAAGGTACCAATAGCCGGGGAACCAGGTATACCCTAGAAAGGAAAGCCCTGGTACCCCGACGTACCTCGGGCCATCTACGGTTTATAGATGACCGCTAATGTGTGGGAACCCGGATGTTCCCTTCCTGTCCCGGAGGGCGTCCCGCGCTCCCGGTGCATCCCCACCCCCGCCTGCTTCTGCTATAGTGACTGATAAATATAGTTCTACCCCTAAGGGTGGAAATGAAGAAATTAATAATGTAGTTTATTACAATTGATCACGACGTAGGCGCCTTGAAGTCGGTGAAGTATTTTACGCGTGAAGTTAATTAGCAGAAACGGGGGACGCAGACAAAGTTGCGCGGGACAGTTAGTGGCATAATAACAAATTATTAGAACTGAAGATTAAAAGAATGTTTCGTTTTCGTTTCGATTCTGTTTTTGCCGCGCTCTTGAAAATGCCGCCCTTGTGCGGTGCACGCCCTGGGCCGCAATTTTGCTATTTTATGTTTACGCCAAGCCACTGTCAGACCACTGACACGCTATTGAAATGCCATCGAGTGGCCATTGGCATCGGTATAAATATCGGTAGTTGAAATTATTTTACGTTTTTTTAAGGAAATGATTTATTTATTTTTATTATAATAAATTATTAAAATAAATAAATTAATTGAAATAAATTACGAAATACATAAAATTATTTGAAAAGGACAAAAAAAAAAAAATTAAAATAATTTAACTTATTAAAATAATATTAACATAACGTATTGAACATTTCATACATAACGTATGAAATTTTTTTTCGGGACTTATCGAGTGTCTTAGTTCTGTGTGTTCGTGGGTCACTGCTGTTGATCCTGGTATACAGGAGCGTGTGGGAGGAATTGGTCCCGTTAAAAAAAAAGGATATTGTAATCATCTGCCCTTTCTTTCCGTGCGGAAATCCCCTCGAATGTCGGACTCGAACCGACTAAAACCGCACGCCATCTCGGGTACTAATAGCCGGGGAACCAGGTATACCCTAGAAAGGAAGTCCCTGGTGCCCTGTAATCATCTGCCTATCGTTGTGCAATGCTGAAAGAAGGTGTTCCCCGGGGAGTGCTAACTATCCTGGTCTATAAGCATATTTAATTAAAGTTGATATAATCACACAAAATACTAAGTATATTTTGCAACATTATTCCTCATTTCGAGTGAATGTTGATTATTTTAATACACTTTGCTTTGTTTTAAGACGGTAACATTTTTGATGGCATGTCTATTAAAATATCGACCATAGTAAAAAGATTTCTTACGGCTTGAAAGTCTGTATTTAAAGAATTATAATAAATATTATTTCACGACTAAAGTTCCATAATACTATGTTTCGAATTTTGGACCAGTCAAACTTTAACATAGACAAATGCAAACATTCCCGATCTATGGTTTCAACTTGTGTAACTTGTCTATGGGTAAAGTTGTTGTTTGACGTTTTCTACAGCTGTCAGATCTTTTTGTTTCGGCCATTTTCGCCGAAAGGTTGGTGTTCGCTTCAGGTCACGTATCTATTCGTGGCCTTTAGATCACTTTAATTTAACCAATTCAAGATGGTGCAGAAGAAGGTAAAAGCCATGTGCGTTTAGTAAATTATTATATTTTAATTTCAAAAAGTGTTTATAAGGTGAAGTTTACATCTTAAACATGATTACGGGTCGTCGTTGTTTTCCGCGTAAATACTGTTATATTTCAAAATAAACAGGTATTTTATGTGAATTGTAAACTCTTAATATGTTACGGTGTTGAATTTTAATTGTTAAAGTTGTAGTTTCGTACATTTCTGCGAGTAAATTTACATAACCTCAAAAATATAACCATGATGTTAATTGTGTTCTGAATTGCTGTGATTACTATCAGATTATCACCAAGATCGCTGACGACTGTTTAATATCTCGTAGCTAGCGTTCTAAGCGTTCTTTGCTTAGGTATTTTTTTATTTTAATTTCAGCCTAAGAAGAAGGTGGGCAAAAAGGTAGCGGCCGCTCCTTTGGTCGTGAAAAAAGTTGAACCCAAAAAGGTCGTGAACCCACTCTTTGAGAAGAGGACCAAGAACTTTGCTATTGGTAAGTTCATATTATCTTAACGTGATTCATTATTGTCAAACAGTCTGTTATTATTACAAAGGGGAACTGTCCATAGTACGGAGAAAGTATGGTGTAGCACACTATCGGAAAAAGCATGAAATGGCTGTGTGATTTTTAGGAGGGAAAAGTTGATGGACTAAAATGATGTAAACCTTTAATCTGAAAAACCATGTGGTTTCCAAATATACGAGCTTTTTAACACTGATTAGTCCATCGCAACCCTAGTGATACTTATTCCAAGGATATCTAGTTATTAGTAATGATCTAAATAACCAATTTTTGACTTTATAGTGCCATGTGTATTTACTTGTTCAAATTCATCTAATATATGTCAAATTACAAATCAATATCAATGAAAACAAAAATCAATATCAATAAAGAGAAATTTCTGTATTGTTTTATCAACAAAGAAGTGTATTTTTTGTTCTGTGAAAGTTTTAAGTAGACTTGCACAATTAAGTTTCATTTATAACTTGGAATTAAGCAGCGACTGCCTAAGTTTACAACATTCTTCAAGTTTTTTTTTAATTTAATTTATTTATTAACATCTTAAATGGATGGTGCGGTCGTGCCTTTGGTTTTCCTTGTTGGGTATGGCTGAGGCACTACGGCACAAGTTTGTGTATTTAAATGATTCAAATTCACTTAAATCTACTGAAGAAGCAAGACCAAAAAATTCATGGAAGAAGATTAAGTTTCTGATAAATATATTTCCGTGCGTGTCCTAAAAGACGACTCTAAGAGGGCAAACTATGCAGGACATCAGCATTGTAAACAGAAGGTAAACTTGACACAAACCCAATACCAACCCGTCTGGCTAGTGTGGTATAGTAGGCCAAAACCTCCTTTCTAACAGACACCTATGTCCAGCAGTGGACTATTAAAGGGTGATGAGGATGATAATATTATTTCTGTTAAGTAAAGGCTGCAGCCCTTATGTAGGAATGTGCTAATCACATATAGATTCTTTACTTTAATTAAATTAAATGTGAGTTTTTTTCATTACTGATATTTTAGTTTTTATATTTTATTGTATAAGTACACATAAAAATAATTGTTATTATCTGATTACCAGGCCAGGACATCCAACCCACAAGGGATCTGTCCCGATTCGTAAGATGGCCAAAATATATCCGCATTCAGCGCCAGAAGGCAGTGCTACAACGCCGTCTCAAGGTGCCACCACCAATCAACCAGTTCACCCAGACACTTGACAAGACCACAGGTTTGTTGATTTGTGAAGTATATTTATGTAGGGCTAAATTTTAGGTATATCCTTAAAAAAAAAAAATTTATATACATTTAACCCTTTGATTTTTGTTTTAATAAAGATATATCTAATTGAAATAGCATAGATATTTAAAAAAAAAACTCACTTGATAAAGTATTGTCTGATAACAAAAACATTCCTAACTACTTTTATTTTCATCTCCAAAACATTTCTAATGATTTTGGATTCATAACTAAACATTTGTTTGTGCCTGTTATTACATTATTTATATGTAAAGCATATCATGATGTATTTTATTACATTCTGTACTTAAAAACCTTTTCTAGAAAATTTACGTATTCACCTAAATTAAAAAAATGTGGTTTAAAATGATGAATCTACCAAATGCAACGATGAATCACTATGATTATCAAAATATATACGAGCTTTTTAACTCTGAATACAAATTTTACAAACATAAGTATTAACAATGCTATTAGTTGTGTTAAGATAGTTAATTTTCATTTCAGCTAAGGGATTGTTCAAGATCCTTGAAAAATACAGGCCAGAAACAGAGGCAGTCAGAAAAGAACGCCTAAAGAAGGCTGCCGAAGCCAAGGTAATCCTATTATTTAAACTGTTTCTCTCTTAGAATGAGGATTTTTTTTTCTAACTTACATTTTTGTGTAATTAAATAGTACTACAATTAGAAAAATGAGACACTTATTTTTCAAATTTCAAAACATGCTATTAATTGCTGGGATTTGTACTTAAACACAGAACTACCTGATAAGTTTTTAAATTTCAAAAGCTTGTAATAATAAATACCAAGAAGCTGCCTCAATAGGTTATTGCTACCAAGACACAATAAAATTGTACAATTACACAAATATAACTATTATTATAAATGTAAAAAGTAAATGCATTTTTTTAACATTTTCGACCATTGTTTGTTCTGTTTCATGGTGTAATTTATTTGTAATATGTATGTAGCTTGAAATATTTAAGTATGTTGAACAGCAGTCTGCCTGGTTAGTATAGCACAAACTCTACCTAATTTGGGATCACATTGGGTGTGATGTGTGCAGTTATTATTGTTATAAGTAATTATAATTAACCACCACATATTACAAAGGTTAACTACTTTCTAAATCTACTCTTAAATAAGAAAAACATACTAAACAAATTGTTAAGATTAACTAGCGTAGACACCATAGACTATAGACACCATCAACTATAGACACCATCATGTTCAATCAAAAATATGTTTACTTAATCTTTTTTTTTTTTTTTAAAGACCTCCCGCAATCTAATAGACAATCTATTAGAACATTGAAAATAATTACAAGAATATAATGTCATACCTTTATAAATGATGCATAACAAAACATTCAGAATGCCATGAAGACCTCTAACCACCAAGATCTCTGATAAACCTTAAATTCTTTCAATTTTGAGTCTTAAGTTAACTCCATACTAAACAACAGTATATTGCAGGTTGCCAAGAAAGATGAGCCTCCACCAAAGAGGCCCCTCACTCTCCGTGCTGGCACTAACACGGTGACCAAGCTGGTTGAGAAGAAGAAGGCACAGTTGGTTGTCATCGCACATGATGTAGATCCTATTGAGGTAAGTTTACATGGTTTTACTTTACTTGTTTTTTAATAATAATCTTACCTGTAAACATGTTAAGGTTCTGCGCAGGTTATTCATTTTGTTCATAGCATACATTGTTGTTATAATTATCGTTATGAGGTTTTATGATTCAATGAATTGAATCAGGGAATAGATACTTGTTCTAGTGGTGTTTAAAATAAGAAATGAAAAGTCTATTATAACAAAAAACCATCAATTTTTCATACAATCGTCACATTACTTTTACTCATTTTATGATCAAATACTCCTGTCTGCAATCTTCAAGACAGTTTCAGGGTTGTGTATTTTCCTTCCTTGTCAATTTGAACATTTTATTAGGAGACACTTGATGATGAAAGCAGTGAACAAATTCCTTAACACTGGTCTCCTGTGAGACTGGCATCACTCTCCAGTCAAGCCTGTCCATCTGCTGAAGTGTAGCTCGTGACCCACAAAAGTACTTCAACAGTATGCATTTCTATATTGCAATGATGTTAGAATTTCTTCACCTGAGACTACAAATACACGATATTAGTAGTTGTATGAAGACACATGACTCTGAGCTTGTTTTCAAACTCATTATTTACACTCAAAACAATATTAAAGTAAACTTTACCTAAATAATATATTTTTTGTTGTTTACAGCTTGTGCTCTTCCTTCCCGCCCTCTGCCGTAAGATGGGTGTTCCGTACTGTATTGTCAAGGGCAAGTCTCGCCTGGGAGCTCTTGTCCACCGCAAGACTTGCACGAGTGTAGCGCTGACACACGTAAGTTTGAAATTATTAAGAAATGATCATATTTTGACTACTTACTATGGTAGGTGTCAAAAGCCCTTTAGGAAATATAACACTTATATAAGATGTGCATATAATGATGATATATTTGCTATCAATAGTGCCATGATGATAAACCTTCTACCACCAATAGATTTATCTGAGTATGCCATCTTATGAATGTTTTTATTTATACCTTAAAAAATTTCTGGTACCACTTTGCTAGTGCAAATAAGTAAAAATATGGACCTGTATGCCATAATAAACAAATTCATAGTCAATTCTAAAATAGGGAATTAAGTTCCTTGACAGATTAATAGAATGGTTATCTATCTAGATGACTACTTTTTATAAATTACATTTTCTATTCTGATATTAAGAATTCTGCTTATAGATTTATTACAGTCGTATGTTTCGACAAAATATTTTTAAAGATAGGATAGATTTTTGTTTATATTAACTTTATTCAACTAAGTGTTACTGAAAACTGACCACTGTGTATTATTTATTTCGTCCTACCAGGTTGAATCTGGCGACCGCGCAGCCTTCTCCAAGGTCGTAGAAGCCATCAAGACCAACTTCAATGAACGCTATGAAGAGCTCCGCAAGCACTGGGGTGGTGGTGTGCTTGGTAACAAATCCAACGCGCGTATCGCTAAGCTAGAAAAGGCGAAGGCTCGTGAGCTAGCACAGAAACAGGGCTAAGCCTAATAAACTTTAAGACCTTATTACACGTTCTTTTATTGTTATTATCCTACACCTTATCACCATATAAACATCGACAGATGGCTGATAGTATAGTAAGAACTTAATGAAATCTTGATATGTGGCTTGCAATTAGGGTAACAGTGTGACAGGTTCATCTCTTCTGCATATTTAAATGAAGAATGCACTTTTTAAGAGTATGCTTTGATATGTGGATATGTATGTACCATATTTCTTGGTTATTACGATCGTTACCAATGTCTTAATGCTTTAACTTCATACTTGCAATTCTGTTACTGAGATATTTTTTGAGTGAAACAGTAATTTGGTCATGGTTTTATAAATACCTACCTAGTTAGTAGTACCTACTAGCTAGTACCTACATAGTTTTGGTACCTAGGTTAGCCAATGTTCCAATCTTAATTGTTTTTGGTTGTACTTGTCTTGTTACCTATATGAATTCGATTTATGCAGGCAAAAAGTACTCGTGGTTTCTTCTCGTAGACCCCAGCTAGGGTCTCGGGGTGACATCTCCGGGTCTACGGCATGTCCAAGTGGTGTTCCGCGCCGCCTGCCACTGCATGCGGGTCACTGGGCATTGGGTCGGGCCCAGATGGGCCTGCTTGGTAGTTCCAGGTTGTCAGTCCAGTAGGAAGTGAGTCCCGCGGGCGACCAGCTTGCTAGCCACGCCCGGGCCTAGTCTAGTGTCATCTGTGCTTGGCGAGGTCGAGCTCCGAGGGATAGGGACCCCGAGGAGCGCCCGTCAGCCAGCATTAGATCGGGTGGTGAGGAAGGTCCGATGGGGATTGCCACGGAGACGAGGTCTCGCGGCAGGCCATGTCTGTCCGGCGGTCGCCGAGGATAGAGCGCGAGCTCCCGCAGGTGGCGGGCTTGCGAGCCGTCGGCACGCACGAACAGATTTGTGCTCAGGCGTCTTACGAAGTCATCCAGGCTCCCCACACGCAGATCCCTGGAGATCATCCTGTTCCGCACAAAGCGAGGGGCGTTGGCAAGGGTGCGTAGTGTGAGTGACTGCTGCGCACGCAACCGGCGGCGGTTCGTCTCTAAGCGCGAACCAAGCCGGGGCACCATAGGTTAGTCGGGTGAGAATGTACGCCTTGTACACACCGAGCTTCGCACGGAGCGGCAATCGGGACGACAGTGACGCGGCACGAACTTGGGCAACGACGTGATTGACGTGGGGCTTCATGGAGAGGGTGCGGTCGATGGTCACGCCGAGGTATTTCACCGTCGCGGACCACTCGATGTTCTCCCCCATGAGTTTCAGCTGTGGTAGGGTTACGCTTTCTATGGAGATCGCCTGAGTCTTCGCCACGTTGACCATCAGTCTCCAGTCCTTCAGTCAGTTGGGAAGTGCGTCTAGAGTATACTGCATCTTGGCACCATTTGGTGATGTCGCGATGGAGGCAGCGGCGTTGGCGTACACCGTGAGCTTCACACCGGTGACGGAGATGTCGCCTGTGTACCAAGAGTAGCACACAGGAGATAGGCAGCTTTGGGACACCGGCACAGATCGGTCGCTCTGTGGAAAGGGCGCTTTCAACCGCCACTTGAAAGCGTCTGTCCTGCAGGCAGCTGGCCACAATCTTCACTACTCGAAGGGGAGTAGTAGATGTGGACAGCTTATACAGTAGGCCGGTGTGCGAGACGCGGTCGAACGCCTTCTCCATGTCGAGGAAGACTGCAACGACCCGTTCGCGCTTGTTGCGCGCAATTGCGATGTGTGCAGTACGGAATCCAAACTGTTCGTCGCGTGGCTGAAGGTGTGGCATCATGTGCAGCAGTAGCAGTTTCTCGAACAGCTTCGACGTCATCGAGAGGAGTGTGATGGCGTAGGAGGATATTCTTCCCCGGCTTGGGCAGCATGGTGACTCTTCCAAGTCGCCATGCGGCCGGAAAGTGTCCGGTGCGGAGGATGCCATTAAATAAACGCGACAGCGTCGCGATTGCTCGCGGTGGTAGGTGACGCAAGGCTTCGATAGTTACCCGGTCGAGAACGGTGCTTTACGCATAGGCGAACGGTGGATCATCCGCTGGATTTGACCAGGGGAGAAGACGATGGGGTCCTCAGTCATGGCTATCGGCTTTTCGAAGTATAATTCGAGCCTCCTCGCGACCTCTGCTACGTGCTGCACGTTGAGGGCAGGATTTGGCTGAAACTGCGCTTCCAGGAAGTCGGCGAACATCACCGTTCGGTCCTCGGCACGGTAACGTTGGGTTCCGTCACCGGCCATCAGGGGCCTAATCGGAGCTGGTTTCCCGGAAAGTTGGCGACACAGAGATCTTCGCAGCCAGAGCGGAGTTCCACGCCGTGTGTTTCGCATTAAAGTCGCCGATTATTGTAGGCAGCGCCGAGCTAGCAGAGTGTGTATGTCAGCCACTGCGAGGCGTTGCCCCGGCGGCCTGTAGAATGCGAAAACACGGGTAGGTTGGCTTCCGATGCAAACCTCTACGACCAGGGCGTACGCAGACTGCAATGTCGGTACTGGTAGTGCTTGGTGGACGACTTTCCTCTTGACCAGGACTGCTAATCCCCTGTAAGCAGTCCCTTTTGGCGAGCGTTGGTCCTCCCGGTAGACATAGTATCCACCCATTTTGAAGTTGTCTACTGGTCTGAGGTGGATCTCGATGAGCAGGGCTATATCTACTTGCTGCTTTGCCAGCAGCAGTTTCAATAGCCTGGTCTTCTAACCAGTTGGTAAAATCTGCTTGTTAAGACAATTATAGCGCCATCTAACGTAGCTGTCTGTTATGCTGTTGGTGTAGAACAACGATGGAAAGACCAATTAATATGCCAGAATTTATCAAAAAAAATTAACAGATGGCGTTGTATTCAATAAACCATTTACAGACCTACTTCAAAAGTATTCTACTGTAATGCTAGTGAAAACAAATACTAACGTATCGCTAACGTAAACAACTTGGGCGTTCCAAACTCACTCCTAATGGTTCCATTATTGTGAATTATTTATGAGAAAGTAGGAATAAACAGTCGTAAATGCGAGAGATTGATCGTGATTACCAATGTTAAAATAACAAGTATCCAGAATTATAATTTGACAGACATGATGATGTTTTGAAGTGAATCACATTAAGTGGGATTTAAAATTAAAACTAATTTAGTAATGTAAGAATGATTTCATTATCTTGGTTCATCAACATAGATTTGAGCGTTATTACTGATAGTTTCATACGTTTTTTGTCAAAACATTGATAATTGACGTTGAATCACTGTTATTTTGACCTTTTGTTACGCTGTTTTTCTGTACGGAAATCCCCTCTGATACCACACCCAGTGGGGTGGCTATGGCAGATCTATTTTGACCTATCTTAACTATAAAAATAATGAGTTTTCCTTAAGAAAACGCTCCCCTACTACTGTTATATAACGGGTTGTTATTTAAAATAACCTGTCCGCATTGCTCTCTTTATTTCAGGCAAATATTTGGCCATGGAGAGTTTTAGATATTTGTCTGTCTGCACAATTATATTACGGGGAGAGAGCACACATTTGCGTGGAAGTCATGAAGGCGTGTTAAAACTTTGCACTTGGTCATATACATACGTAATAGCGGAAACTTCTGGTTTAGACAACAACATAAACTTTTAGTAAACTCCAATACAAAAGTGTAACTGAAAACAGACATTACTAACATAACGACGTCAAAACAAAAGCTAAGTAGCAATATTCTATGTATGCTGCGTAGTTTTCTGCGACAATAAACTATTTTTATCAGATGTCTGACATTTTTTAAAATAAAAACTTCTCCATAGTTGGACTGGTCTAGTGGTTAGTGACTCTGACTGCTACGTTAGAGGTCGTGGTTTCGATTCCCACCCAGTACAAATAATTGTGTGATGAGCACGGTCATTTGCTCTGTGTCTGGGTGTAGGGGGAAGTCCCGTAGCGCCGGACGGCACCTAGCGCCGGACACTCATACTATTTTGACAAACGTCAACGCGATCTATTTATAAATCGGTGAAAGGGGTGCGGGGGAACGTAGCGAGACAGGATCACGCAACGCGATTTGCCAGTGAGACGCACAGTCGTGGTGGAAGCGGTGAATTGCTGTTTTTGGTGGGAAAGCGTTGCGTCACGTAAATTTCAAGTAAGTATTACTGCTATGGTTTTATCCTTAATTGTTTTTGTTATTTGTTAATAAAGACAGTGTTTCACTATAATTATTATATTGTGAAAGTTTTTATTAAATACCTAAACAGTTTTAGTATGAAATACGTAATTTTGGACGTTTCCTGTCCCCTACTTTCGGACACAAAGGTGTCCCTTACCACCGGACAGTTTATAGGTTAGCTTTTTTATGAAGCATTTGTAATTATTGTAATGATGATTGTTTGTTGTTTTACAGGATAGAAGGAGAGAGATATTTGAAAATGCAAGAGAGAAAATAAAAGGAAAATGGGATCAGCAAAGTTTATAAACTGCGATGAACAAGATTTTGTACAAAAAAATGAGTTTGAGGGCAGCTTCGTCACGTTACAATGTTCCAAAAAGTACTCTACATGATAAAATAACGACATAGTAGAAAAGAATTCACGTTGCAACCAAAAGTTGGTAGATTCACAAAAACCTTCTCACCCGAGTATGAGCAAGTTTTAGTGGACCACATAAGAGATTTGTCTAATAGATGTCTGCCCCTGATGAAAAACGAGTTTTTGAAGTTAGCTTACGACTTGGCTGAAGCTATGAAGATTTCCCATGAGTAAACAAACCAAACGTGGCAATAACGACAACAAAAAGGAGCCGTTAACTGAAGTATCAAATATAGAAAAAACGACTTGTGTAGTGTGTTTAGAAGACCACGACGAGGACTGGATACAATGCTCCAGATGCCAATAATGGGCTCATGAAGCATGTGCAGACGTTCCAGAATGTGGAGATGCCTACATATGTGATAGATGCTAAAAGTTTTAGAATGTCCGGCGCTTGGGGTTTGAAGATTAACCCGTCCGGTACTAGG